TTAAGCCCACATAATTTGTGGGAGTCAAAAACTTTGTTCCCTCTTTTAGTATGCAATTTATAGTCTGCCTTTCATGTCACGACCTTACCTTATATTTAAATATTTTTAGTTGTATTTTTTGCCGACATGAAAATGCAGGACGTTAAAAAAATGTAAAAGGGTTAACAAAAATGTGTGAAATTATAAAAATTTACCACTTGATGTGCTTCTCGTTTAGTAGGCATGGCTGTAGAAAGGCGAAAAATGAACCTAACGAAATGAATGTCGGTTGCCAACTAAATCAACAACATTACACGTAAAAATTAAGTGAGTATTTTTTAAGGTACTTCTGACACAATTAGGAATTCAAGTTTTTGAATGGCAAATAAACGGGCCCTCGTCTGGCTTTAGGAATCTCGTTAATTGAAAACTAAACAGTTGGGACACCGTTATGCCCGCGTAAACGGTGTCTCTTAGTCGAGACCTGCAAAACGACAAAATATTTAATCACGTTGGTTACACTTAATGGCAAAATTAGACTTACACAGATCTGATAAAATACGCATATTTATGTAATAAGAATTCTCTTGCTAACGTGCTTATGGAATATTTAAAGGGGACACTATTGGACCTAAAATACATCGCTAAATTATTGTAGGCACTTGTTAAATCATATCAGATCAGTATAAATTATGTGCTTAGTTTACAATGCCTAAGACAGAATTTTACATATTTCAAATTTACCAATTTTCGGTATTTTCCAATCTGCATAAAGATTTCGGTTCATGCAGTATCAAAGAAAGGTTGTATGTGGGTCGAATTGCATAATTTATTAGGGATAATGCAATATGGTATAATTTTTGACACTTTTACAATGTTTGTAATTCGGAATAAAAATGGTTTAAGGGAAATTTGAACTGTGTCTCAAAAATCGACTTTGCTTAAAAAAGGTGAGTGTATCGCTTAGGGTCGGTGGCTTAGTTGAGAGGTTAGCCTCTCCTTCTCTCTCTACACTCTGCAGAGAGAACAGGGGAGGCTAACTTCACTAATGTTGGGGTAACGGGCTTATCCACGGGCGTATTTTGCACGTCGATTGACGGGCTTCTACACTAGTATAACATGATACTCGTGGCAAATCGTCCAGCTACCTTGACAGGTCAATATTTTTTTCTCCGACAAAAATATTTGACCCCAACCCTAAACATGGGTTGCAAAATTTATCTGTTCATAATTCTTGTGGAAACGGTCTGATATTTTAAGCATGACTTTTGGACCATTTTTAGTAAAGATACAGCAAGAATTTGGTAGAACTTGGGTATAGAAAATTTTATACCAGCTATGCGATATCTTAAATAGATATTTTACACATAAAATAAGCTTTGTTTCTACCGGCGTATCCGTATAGTAAATACGGTCTGTCTCAAAATGAAGAGATAGTTTTATAAAATTCTACTATTTCTTAATAGCTTGGCCCTGGAGCCCAAAGTTTTATTATATTATAGCTCAGGTATTGCTACAAGTTCATGCCGAGTTTCATTGACATTTGACTTAAATCAAGAACTTTATCTGCAATCTTAAAAAATTAGTCAAATTCGACTGTCTCAAAAGTAAGAGATAGGGCATTTTTATGAAATTTAATTAGTTTATAAGTTAATTTGAAGGGGCTAACTTCCTTTAAAACTTATTCTAGTATTCGGTAAAACCTTTCCTAGCTAAAATTGACGCGAATATTCATCGCTTCATGGAGTCATTGAAGTGCTGAAGGGTCTCCAGCGGGATATTTGCCCATCCGCCATGCATCATTTGCTCCAATTCCTTTTTGGTTCTAAATTGACGCCCACCCGACGCGAGAAGTTGGCCCAAAAATTCTTCATGGGATTTAGGTCAGGACTGCTAGCCGGCTAAGCCAAGTTCCCGGCATTTTTCCTGGCAAAGAAGTCCATGATTAAACGGGAAGTATGAATTTGGGCGTTGTGATTCCGAATATCCCACCTTATCCGCAAAATTCTGGGTCCCTAACTGACTAGATTTGACTGGCGTACTCTCTGATAACCTCGTGAACCTATTCTGTGTGTAATCGGTGCTATTTCGGTCTTTCCATGATATCCAAATCCTCCCATATGATTACAAAATTACCTCTTAAAAATTACAAACTTAATTTAAATATGGTGCACATTTGTTAACACATATTTTGGTATGGGGTATTTTTTAGACAAGAATGTAGGTTATGCATGGGACTAAAAAAATATTCTGCATAAAAATATTTGTCCAAAAATATGAACCACAAATTTAAATTGAATTTGTAATTTTTAAGGGAAAATTTGGTAATATTGTGGGAGGTTTTGGATATCGTGGAAAGACTGGAATAGCACGAGTACACCCAGAACAGATTCACAAGGTTATCAGGGATAACGCCAGTCAAATCTGGTCAGCTAGGGACCCAGAACTTTGCGGATAAGGTGGGATATTCAGAATCACAACGCCCAAATTCATACTTCCCGTTTAATCATGGACTTCTTTGCCAGGAAAAATGCCGGGAATTTGGCTTAGCCGGCTAGCAGTCCTGACCTAAATCCCATGAAGAATTTTTGGGCCAACTTCTCGCGTCGGGTGGGCGTCAATTTCGAACCAAAAAGGGATTGGAGCAAATGATGCATGGCGGATGGGCAAATATCCTGCTGGAGACCCTTCAGCACTTCAATAACTCAATGAAGCGACGAATATTCGCGTTAATTCTAGCTAAGAAAGGTTTTACCAAATACTAGAATAAGTTTCAAGGGTACTGACTCCCTTAAAATTAACTTATAAAATGTTTAAATTTCATATCTCTTACTTTTGAGACAGTCGATTTTGACTAATTTTGTAAGATTGCATATAAATTTCTTGATTTAAGTCAAATCTCAATGAAACTTGGCATGAACTTGTAGCAATACCTGAGCTATATTATAATAAAACTTTGGGCCCCAGGACCAAGCTATTAAGAAATAGTAGAATTTTCCAAAACTATCTCTTCATTTTGAGACAGACTATATGAGTAATGTGTATAATAAAAATGCTACAGTTGCGTTATGCATGTTCTTCCCCCTTGGATTCCGCCATCAGGTTATTATCAGCGTCCGGGTAAATATCTTCTTAAAAATCCGGAAATATGTGCATATAAAAAAACATTTTTTAATTCACTTTAAATTGCGTCAAATTTAGCTTATTTGACTGCATAAACACCGAAAACATCTTTTATATCTCAAAGTGACAAACTAACAACGTTTCCACGTGCTCTAATATGATTTCTGTGCCGATCATTAATTATGTATTGTGAGTTTCTGAAGTTTTTCTAAGAGATTCTATATTTTTTGGACAAACTCGCTGATTTATAGAAAAACATTTATGTCTGCAAAAAAATATATAAATATTTTTGACAAAATCACCGAAGTATGCAAAAACATATTTAAGTCTGTGAAAAATGCAAAATTTTTGGCAAAATCCTGGAAATATGTGACAACATATTCATATATATGTATGAAAACCTCGAAATATGTAAAATATGTGCAAGCATAAAAGCATTTTTTTGACCGCGTGATCTATACCTGACCACAAACAGGATCCCAAAGTTTCAATTCAATCTGGTTGTTATTAAAAAAGTTTGAAATACATACATAGCCGGACTCTGGTTATTATTCCAAGAAAATTATCACCAAAAAAAGTTGACCTTTTCTTATTATTCGGCATTTTATAGAGAATTGGACTTACCAAAAGTCCACCGTAAAATAAAGAACCTTTTTTTTATTTCTACGTTGTTAGCAGTTTCAACTTTATTGCTATAATTTCTCCCGATAATGGGATCGACCTTTTAATGCTTCACTTTTGTCACATTGCCAGAACTAACAAGGGTTGTAAGTAAAAACAATGTGAAGAAAGGTTACTTTGGATAGAAATCTCAGAAATCTGACCAGCCCAGGGTTCGGAAAAACCCAGGGTTTTAATCAAAAATTATAAAACCCATGGGTTTTAATGGGTTTTACCATGTTAATTGGGTTTTATTTGGGTTTTAATGGGTTTTATTGGGTTTTATTGGGTTTAAATGGGTTTTATTGGGTTTTATTAGTTTTAAGTAATAACTTATCAAAAATTATTCGGAATTTGTATCTATTCAGAAATTATTTTTGTTTTATAACACTTGAAATCTGTGATGCTAAAGGATGGAGTCAATTGTTGATTTGTTCCGAATTTTCATACATTAGAATAGTAATGAAGTAAACTGCTTTAGAATGAATTGAGATGACGTCTTCTAACGTATAGGAGATGTATTTAACTTTTAGAATGTAGTTTTAGGATAAAACTCAATTAAAACCCAATAAAACCCATTAAAACCCAAATAAAACCCACTTAACATGGTAAAACCCAGTGGGTTTTATTCATTTACAACCCATTAAAACCCATTAAAACCCAATAAAACCCAACCCATTAAAACCCAGGTCGGAATACCCTGGATCAGCCACTTTTGCAACCTTTATCTTAAGTACATACTATACAAGCCATCGCGTACTAAATACTTCAGCGAATATCAATAAAACCGGTATACATATTCTTCTCGTAAAAAGGTAAAAAGGTAGCACGGTCTTTAGTAAACTGAAGTGAAGAAAGGTTTTGAGTGTGTCAGCTTTTCCATCAGGTCTGTGGACCCTTTCCTGCATACCTATTTCTATCTACACTCTTAGAAATGGGGTTAAGATAATAACCAATAAGTAAACGTATATGACTCTACCGCCGTGGTTATGAATTTGTCACTAACTAGTTATAAATTTGTTAGCTCTGGTGACAATTTAATACCAAGTCGGTGAAACTTTATAATTACCCGGTGACAATTGCAACCACTCTATGACAAATTTATTACCACGGTGGTAGAGTACCACATGTTTACTTTTTGGTTATAATCGTAACCCCATTTCTAAGAGTGTACCTACCAAGGAAAACTATTTAAGGTGCCTTTCCTTCAACCATTCCACCACATTACAAAACTGACCATCATCACGGCACCATTGTAACCTTTAGGAAATTAATGTTTTCGTGTAACCAGTTTAAAAGGTAGAGAACGAACGTTTTTGACGAAATAGTGATTGACATCTCTTCAACCAGAACAACGTTAACGACGATTTCTTCAACTCCCCCACAAGTTACCTGAGATTTTATAGTGTACGAACTTGAGTATTATCAACACATTCATATATTCTTGGAAAATTGGCAGGTCAGGCAACAGAACTACAAACTTAAATATCTTAAAGCCCACCTTGATTTATATTTGCACCAGACTTGAATATTCCCATCTCATTATAATATAAACTCGCAATTGTGCAATTCTATATATTTATATTCAGTTCAAGAATATTTTATTGCCTTCGCTTAGATAAAAAACAAGAAAATGAATTCAACCAACAAACCATGGACAATGACGTCAAAGCATCCCTCGGAGATGGATGACGCGGCCAAACAGAAACTAGCCGAGATGGAAGCCCAGCTAACCAAATGGAACGTGGATCCTAAATTGGCCAACTTCTTCAGGTATTTTGTCAGTCTTCTACTTTATTTCTTTAACCTTTTTCACTAAAATACATCATATGACGAATTTCAAATCCTGTCCCTAAGAGACCGAATACGTCATATGACGTATGTGCATACCATGGTATGCATACCAAATTCGTCATATGAAGCACGTACCATAACGATTACTGACACTGAGGACCAAGAACGTCATATCACGTATTTTGTTAAATGCAGCTTTCTCAAAATTTCTCAAAATCCGAGTGTTGTTTTAGTATTTTGTGGAGAACTCGATGGTAAAAACTTGACTCTTTGGTCTAGGGACACCCAATTTTTTAGTGGCATTTAATATTTTACATATCGTACATATGCTCAATTTCATTAAACAATTATGACCCCCAAATGATAATTTCAAAACTAACCAACTCGTTTTTTCCTATTTTTTGACAAACAGCCAACTTAAGAAGGACTCCATCGTTGCGTGTGGTAACTGCGGTCTTAACGAGGCCGAGCTTGGCGACAGCCGAAAACTGAAACGATGCGTAAGGTGCAAGACGATCGGTTACTGTTCGGAATCTTGTCAAAAAGCAGACTGGCAAAGTAAACACCGACAAATCTGCTGCGTTCCCACTCTCTCCAACGAAGCCCAAGCGGCACACGACGCTGCTATGAAGAATCTCTGTGACACATTTACCCAGCAGTTGAACTCAGGAAAAGGCCAGGACAAGGAACAACCAACAACCAAAAATGGCCCAAAAATGGAAGACAAAAAATCCGACATGAAGGTAAAGTATTCGGTTTTTCCCATTTTGCACATATGTAATAACGAAGCCATCAGAGTTGAGTCGGTTGCACATTTTTTCGGATCCATCTGAACCGAAACCGAATATTTCGGTTGCAAAAATATCCATCCGAACTGAATCCGAATTTTTCGGTTGAAAAAATGTCTAAATCGAACCGAATGACTCGGATTCGATCTGGATGGATACTTTATCCAAAATTCGGATAACCGACTATACCCTGGAAGCCACACAAAAATATTGCATATCGCACGTTGTTAAATATCTTATAGATGATTCCAGCAATTCAGATACAAGATGCAACCCATCCAAGGACGGAGGTTAACCCCGAACTTTTACGAATGTACAGAATTGACAATTCAATTTGCAAATTTATTGTTATGCAAACTTCAGTCTGCCGAAGCTATCCTAGGTATTAATTTGTATTTAGTTATCACCTCTGCACCATATTTGCAACCAGTAGATGGAAGAATCTATTATTGTTTTGAATGCGTCTTCATTCCATTTAAAACTGGACAGAGTTATCGAGATTCATTAACTTTAGTTTCGTCGCACTTAAATATCTTCACATTCTTTCCATCCACAATTATGAAGGAACAATTGAAAAACGTGAAATTGTTTAAAAGAATTAATAATTAATTAATTAATTAATCAATAAATCCAGACTACTTCTAAGCAGTACGCTATTACATGAGAATGAATACGAGTTCCAAACAATTCCTATACTTTCCACTACTCAGTGTATCACCCACAGTTTAATTAATCGTATTTATTAACCTCTTAGATGGGCCAACATCGGGCTCACACCGGAAGTCAAACCCTTCAAACTTGCTCTCGGAATTATTGTCGACCGGCGTAAGCCCAACGACAAAATAATTTGGATCCTCGACCCCACCAACGCACATTTTCACGAGGACCCTGCAATTCCATGGGAGTCGAAAATCTTTCTCGACGTCGGAATGGAAGTCATGGCAAATGTGGGCTACATGATCAAGTGCGAGTGTCCCTTACAAAACTGCACGTGCGGGGATGACTGGAGAATTGACTTCGTTCGCTGTAAAGAGCTGCCCCTTCAAGATTGTGGTTATCCTGAAATCGTCGACATTCGATACCCACGACATGCCGCGACATCCTTGGCCTACCATTTTAAACAATTTGTGAACGAAGACACATTCCTAGAGGGGCAGAAGGAGGCTGGGCAAACTTACTTCACTACACTGCAAGAAATATCCTCACCGGATTTACACCGCGCGGAGAGATTATGCGGCTACACCGTTTTGGTGTGAAATCCTCCCCGTTGGTGTAAATAAGATTTAGCACCGACACGGTGAGAATTCATCCCCATTCCATAATATCGTTAACACGGTGATGGTGATGACCATTGACACTGATAAATTCTCGATTTTACACTGTTTGGTGAGATTTAGGAAGCAACTCTGGTGAGGTTTAAATAAAAATCGCATTAATTAAAATAATTTGTGCTGCATATTTTTTTATTGAAAAAACTAAAAAAATATTATAATAAATATTACATATGAGGTTCAATACAAACTAGCTATAAGTGATGTCTACAAATAACATACATACCATCTAATTTACAATTATTTTGAATTTCCATAGCGTCATGAATTACTAAACTACTGATGTTAATTAATTTAAAGCGGTCCTGTACGGGAGATAATTTATAAGCAAACAAATTTCGATAAAAATATTTTACTTCTAGTTCCTTAAGCAGTATTAAACAACAATTATCTTCTAAAACAATAAATTCAGAAATTATGCCGAACTTTGGGAAAACTGGTCCTATCTCATAACATACAACAAAATTATATCTATAATTATACCCTCGAAACCAAACTTGATTGGTCGTAAATATTGAGGTCTTCTCATCAAATTTTTCGCAACCTTTAAATCCTCGAAGTAACTCAATTAAGTCAAAAGAATCCGAAATTTGTGACAACAGCACTGGGAAAATAATATCTATTTTCATATCGTCACTCAAATCGTGTCTAGATATAACGTGAGACATATGTTGTTGATGCCTGTTGGCCAGCGACAAGCAAATATTTTTGTAACTTTTTATTTGGCTAACTAACTGCACGAAATAATTATGCTTGCCCTCGAACCTCATTGCCCAAAGATTAATTAATGGACCAGATTTTCTAATAACATAAGAGTAATGTGTCATGAAATGATGTTTGGGAATTAGTTTACGTTCCGGAAACAATGTTTTAAACAGCTCATGGTGCCTAATAATTGATGAATGCATAGTCTCGATTGTTGACTCAGAAAATTTTCGACAAAAAATTAAGCTCATACATTCCAATAATTGTAAAATCAGCTCCCAATACTTTAACTGATCCTCAGTTACAATTAAGTCGCCTATAATAATTGGAAGAAATCTGACTAAACACCACGCTTGAGCGGCCTTCTGTCCTAATTTATTTCCGCATAAATCTAAACGAAGTGGCCATGGCTTATTCCTTGACTCTAAAAAACCGAAATCATGACACATTATTCTATTATTAATTTCTTCTAAAGTAAAGCTGCCCATACTGATTAGCTTCTGAATAACTAATTTGATCTCGTACGGCACGACTCCTTCCAGTAGGTCGTGCATTATGTCCACAGTTGGACTGTCTAGAAAATTAAAATAATATAAATTATTAAGCTCACACTCTCTAACGACACCAAAATTCGAGTCAATCAGATGTTGAGTATAATTAACCCTATCCCTAAGTACCATATTATTGTGGTCAAGAGTATCTTGGGCCTCATTGCGTGATGTACAGCAAATTCTGCAATAATAATTTGCGTTAAATGACTCCATAAAGCCTAGCAAAGTGTTTCCTCCTAAATTGTCGTGAACAAGACAACAAACTGTACCAAATACTCGTTCATTACGAACTAATAATCCAACAGTTTCTAAAATTTTTATGTCTGGAATTATATATTTTAAAATTGAACTTATTCCATATTTTTTTGCATCTTCTGTATGGAAGAGTGCCAATAAATGGATTTGGTTAAGTTGCGAATTGATATAATCAGGAAAATTTCTAATAATAAAATAAATACCCCCAATTTTATGTACACTACGAACTGGCCCAATTGGGTTAGCAGGTTCAAAATCGTCATAGAAAAGCTGAATTTGAATTGCATTTGGAAAATTTTTAAATAAAATATTGGACTTGAAACTTTGAGAATCACTAAATTTCTCATAGAAAGACACAATTTTTGGTGGATTTAATAGATATTTAGAGTATTGATTTTCGGAAAATATTCTTTCTAATGTCTCTAGAATAGGAACGTACATAAACGTTTCGGGAACTAACACTTGCTCTCTTTTTGTATCTTTAAGTTTTAAATCTACTCTAGTACCTAAAGTTATTTCTACTGGGTTAACAATTTTGTTTGTAGTTTCGTAAAGTTTCTGGCGACTATAACCTGTTTTTAACTTGTCCAATGCAGACAACAGTGATTCTAGTTCCAGAGAAAAATCTGCTAAATTATTAACAATATATTTACTAGCTAATTTAATTATTATTTTGGAAACTTGGGAGAAACAATAGTCTAATTCTTTAACTACATAATCAACTACTGAATTACTTACACCTCGAGACATTAAAGAGGAACAGAAATTTGTTAGTAAATAAATAATTAGCTTGTCTGGGTCGTAACAAACATTCGAGTCTTCGACAATATCTGATATGTCGTCTGGCCCTAAACCTACACTGATGTCAGGAATTATCCATCATTGGACAAGCTTATCGTCCAAATGTATATTTCTTAAAAAATACAGTAGATATTCAAATACTTTTTTTTGTCACTAGTAGACCAACCAATTGGTAGTACAATGTCACGTAATCAGGTCTCAAAAAAATTTCAATATGGGGTAAAAATAAATTATCTCGCGGGCATTCAAAATCAACGTGTTATAAAATATCCATCTTTTTTGCTCCTCAGCTGAAAAAAAGAATAATTTGTTTTGGTAAGTTCTTTCTTTAATTTATTTTTGTTCTTAGATCATTTTCTTACGATTAACGAAGAAAACTTGTACAAAATAGGCTATGGGGAAGAAGGTCAAGGAGACGCCATTTGCAATTCGCGAACTGGTAATCAAGCACCATCAGGGCGATGCCAATGGGAAGAAAACCCAACAAGAAATTGCAAATTTGCTTAAAATACCTCGTTCAACAGTTCAATATATAATTCGGAAGCACAAATTATGTGGACTAATTGTAAACAAGCAAGGAAGAGGTCGAAAGCCAATATTCTCTATGAGAGAAAAAAGTGCCATTATCAAGAAAGTGAAGGTCAACCCAAAATTGACAATTTCTAAGATCAGAGATCAAGTTGCAAATGAAACTGGAAAACTAACCTGTCGTAACACAATCATTAAAGTAATCAAGTCTGAAGGATTTAAGAGTTGCAGAGCCAGGAAGAAGCCACTCATTTCAAAGGTCAACCAGAAGAAACGGATTGCGTTTGCAAAGGAGCATGTGAATAAGCCCCAAAGTTTTTGGAATTCGATCTTGTGGTCTGATGAAAGCAAATACAACTTATTTGGGTCGGATGGACGTGCCAGAGTTTGGAGAAAATCAGACGAGGCTCTAAAATTGAAGAACCTCAACCCCACCGTAAAACACGGCGGTGGAAGCGTTATGGTTTGGGGCTGCTTTAGCTACGCAGGGACTGGAGGTCACGAATTCTTAAACGGGACTATGGACCAACACGTGTACCAGGGTATATTGTCCCGTAATATAAAGCAATCTGTAGCAAAACTTGGTCTTGGGCGCCGCTACACGTTCCAACAAGATCGTGATCCCAAACACACTGCGAAGACTACATGGGAATTCTTCAAGAAAAACAAGATAAAAGTGTTGGAATGGCCCCCCCAAAGTCCGGATCTGAATCCAATTGAGCATTTGTGGGACCATATCGAAAGACGGATCAGAAACTATTATATTTCAAACAAACAGGACCTAAAAAATGCAATTTCGGATGCATTCGAAACTGTGACCCCGGAAGTGACAAAGACTCTCGTCGAATCGATGGGTCGCCGCTGTCAAGCAGTAATATCTGCTCAGGGTGGGCCAACACGTTACTAAAAATTACTTTTACCGATCATTTATTACAAGATTGTTAAAAATACGAAGTTAAATAAAAATGATGGATAATTTCTGACATCCGAATTTTGAAAGCTCGCGGTAGAAGACATTATTTCCCCATATTGAAATTTTTTTGAGACCTGATTACGTGACATTGTACTACCAATTGGTTGGTCTACTAGTGACAAAAAAAAGTATTTGAATATCTACTGTACTTTTTAAGAAATATACATTTGAACGATAAGCTTGTCCAATGATGGATAATTCCTGACATCAGTGTAGCTCGTTATTGCTTTCTTCTTCGTAAATTTCTTCCTCACGCTGTACATTATTATTGTGAAACTTTAAATGTTTCAGTAAACCACACCAAGTAGAAAATTTTCTAGTGCAGCTTATTTCTGGACAAACATGGCCTGGAAAATTAGAGCGGCCATAGTTATGTTTAAATTTTAAGTGTAATTGAATATCCTTACTATTTAGGCAGCACTTTGAACAAACCGGGCAGGTGAACATTTTAGGGTTTAACTAATTAATTAACTATCTACAAATTATCTAATAAGTTAGTTATCTCATAGTTAATTAGCTAATAACACTAAAAATTAAATGAGCTGCACAACTGGACGTAGACTTCTTTGGCTTTTGGAGGAATAGTCGTTGACTCTACATCAACCTTATAAACGTACACCTGAAGAAATTTCCATAGCCCGATCAGGCTCTTATCGTATTCCGTGGCGAAGACAAAATGTGACTTGAAGAGGGAGTCAACTGCTGCCAAGGAGGTGGTGGCGTCGAGTGGAACTAGGGTCCTGTCGAGAGTCAAAAAGAAAGACGAAATATTGGCACTGTTTTCGCCAAGGCAAATCAAGTTAGGCTGCGTCTTTTCTGCACTCCAGGTATCCAGAATAGATTGGACTGGCGTTGGTGTCTACCAAAATGCAGAAAAATAAGTTAAATAAATGGATAATAATGGAATAAAATAACTAAAGAGTATGTCAATCGATTTAATGGCTTACTCACCTTATGAAATGTCACAATCCTTTCCACAGCCTGAGAAATAATGCACCGGTTTGCTTTTCCTTTCCCGTGAGCAGTTGGTGGGATGAGATGAAGCAGGATAAATAGTGCTTTCAAAGTTAAGTCCCAATTTTCTAAATGATGGAAAAATTAGGTGATTGTTTTGAAACTACAACCTTATAAATTTTGCAAATTTACCAGCCTCTTCATTGATAAATTTATGTAATGAGGGTGACTTGGTCAAACTCGGCGCCTTCTCAACTATGCATGCAGAGAGCGCAGGCCATGTGTCAAGAAAATTTGTTTCAGCTTCAGGGTGTAGAAGATAAAACTCATAGTTCACCTAAATTCATAAATTAAATTGACATTAAAAATAGGTAATTCATGTAAATTAGACAAGCATGGATATGGGTAACATTTAAATATTCAACGATACCAAAAAATTGCACTCCTTGAATTTGTTATAGATTTTGAGAATGGACAATTCGTTCGTAGAGCGCAGTAAATTCCTATGAGGAAGAGTGGCAGTCATTAAGGGCTTGATCTCTTCAACCGCTGCCTTAGTGGAGATACCGTTAAATTTCCCTACAAGTTCTTCATAGCTTTGTTGATCCTGGTCGAGCGACACGAGTTTTGTAGACCGTGGGCCTCCTATCATTGCCGTTGAAGGTCGTTTTCCTCTTGACTTGACCACATTATTTTTTTCCTTCAAATTACGATGCATCCAGCGGAG